TATTAATCTATTATTTTTAATATTTATATACTCTCAAAAGTGATAATTCACCTCTTATAAATAAAAAATTGTGTTCTTACAAATGCAAATGACATTTTCATATACTGTCCCACTACTACCACATAGAGTGTTCTACTACTGCCGTAATCCTCAAAGACTATGTCCCACTACTGCAGATTCCACGACGTATTTGAAAAATTATCTAATTAAATGGATAATGAGAACCATAGTCAAAAAATATTGTTTCCTTAAGTGAAGATGTATATATTCAATTCAAAAAAAATTTAGGTAAATTAGCATTGGTGGAACTTCAAAAAAAAGAAATACATATATTTTTTGCTTAAAAAAGTGTTCCACTATACCCCATTTTACCTTATTACTATACATAGGTGAAAAGACGTCGAAATCAACAAATAAACCACTTCTCCATTAAATATCTCAGTAAAATCCACGCTTAGCCCCAACTTTTTAAGTACGAAAAGAAAGCTCGCGATCTTAGCTATAAATCTGTCATTTTTATTTTATTGTCATGAGCGTTTTTGTAGCATTATGTCGTGAGCATTCATCTGGTTTGGTAAAAATCCATTACCATTCGTATGTCAACCGGCTTGTAAGTATAATTTTCGTAGAGCTTTTACGCCAAATTTTCCACGCTAAGGGGGTCTAAAATTTTGAGTGTAGGTACATTAGGACTTCTGTAACAACCTCTCAAAATTTAATTCAGTTCGTGAGACATTCAGGTTTACTGGCGAACCACCTTAAGACATCTGAAATTGAACTTTAGAGTTTATAATTTTTCTCTGGTGTGGAATCTTAAAGTTATGAAGGTAAACATTTTTACGCATTCAAGACAGCCAAGTATAATTGTATTTAAGACTTGAATGCTGTTGAAGTTGCGGGACTAAATCTTATAAATGTAATATTTCAACGGAAAATACTCACACAAACGCTCACTATTGAATTTGGGTGTTTAGATTAGGGCGTTTTGTATTCTACAACGGTCGAATATGTTGCTGGAGTTTTTACGATTTTTCCATTTAATAGTGCTGCAGGCTCGTTTATAAACTCAGAACATACAATCGCGAAACCCCTTAATAAGAACTTATAAGGAATTTGTAGCTAATTTGTAGTAAATTTATAGTGCAAGAACTGATTTTGTAGAACCTCAATATCATCCGATACACACAGATGTGCCAACTTGATATCAAGCTAGCACATCTTTCCGCAATGTGGGGCATTCAGGGGGATGGAAAAAACAATATCGACGACTCGGTAAAAGACAGAGCCAACTCAGATAATATGTGAAAAAGGAGCCAACTCAAAATTTGGGTTGAAAAATCAGTCAACTCAGATTTGGCTTGAAACAGGAGTCAACTCAGGTTCGGATTGAAGAAGGAGCCAACTCTAAAGTAATTTGTTTTCATTAAGTTTTGTCGTGGTATCACTGAAATTCACAATATATGTATACCTATATAAACAAACAAACATTTTTCAATTATCCAAAGTTTCAGAAAAATAATTTATGTTATTGTTACGGAGCATACCTACTGTACTTATTAAATTATGTGCTTTACAAGTCTGCTGTAATCAGACGTAATTCTATGATCAGACTGTGGATGAAACTCATTTTCAATGTTATTTAAAAAATTTTTAACTAATTTTTTTGTTTTGAAACATAGTCTTGAAAAATCAACTTGTTTCAACTACAAATAATATTTTTTTTCAGCTCAAGTTTAAATAGTTGTATTTTCTATGTATAATATTTTCTCCCTCCTATGATCACAGCAGAAAAGTAAAGTACAAATTAAATAAGTATAGCACGCTCTGTTACAATAACGTAAATCATTTTTCTGAAACATTGGATATTTGAAAAATCTTTGTTCGTTTGTATAGGTATACATATATTGTGAATACCAGTGCTACCACGAAAAAACTTGATAAAAAAAATTATTCCCAAGTTGGCTGCTTCTTCAATCTGACCCTGAGTTGGCTCCTTTTTTAAGACAAATCTGAGTTGACCGCTTTTTCAACCCAAATTTCGAGTTGGCTCTTTTTTCACCAATTATCTGAGTTGGCTCTGTCATTTACCGAGCCGTCGATATATTTTGTAGCTAATTTGTAGCTTCCAGATGCACATCTCATATCTAGTCTAGAAATAGTCAATTTCGAGAGCTTTTTTTACGTATTAGTATCTATGCATCTGTATGCGAAGCAAGTACTCATAAAATTTGCATACACTGTGCATGCAACAGAATTTGTGCTTTATGTAGTGTAAACTAAAAAAGTAAACATAACTAAACGGCAGTTAAAAATAAATTAAATACATTGCAATAAGTAAATAAATAAATGAAAATACTCAATTTTTTTTACATATAATAACAGTCGTGGCACAACTTTTTCATTACGCGCTCGAAAACTCGACGATTTTTTGAAACCATCTACCTTCATCCCGGAGGTATTTCTACGACGGTAAATGTGACACATTATGATTAGTTAGTTGTACAGTTATAACTACGGCGTCGTAATCATCCAACTTCCTTGAAACCAACAACACCAACAAAAAAATTTCTTCTTTTCCGTTTAAAAAGTTCTGCATAAATTTAGAAAGTTGGTCTAGTGTAACTGCTTGGTTTTCTTTTTCTTGGTTGAATACATCAAAGATGATAAAGTCTCCTTAAGCAAACATATATTGTCAGAATAAAACTAGTTTTGTCAATTAGTGTTATTGTTTCTGTATTAATTTAATGCTTCAATTTTCATTGAATGTTAATATCTTTAATGGATTACACCGTGTTGTAT